AAAGACAAATGCCATTATCTTTAAAAGACTGGTGCTAAGAAGCAGATGTATCCTTCATCTGTCTGAGGAGCAGGGTGAAGGGGTAGTCACACAGTTGTACAACCAGGACCTGTATGCAGTGGTGACAGGAGAAGTGATGGGAACCCATCTCACCTCCCTGACCCTCCTACTTGCTACAAGCAGACAGAAGAAAATGCTGACTGTATTTTTGACCCAGCTGGAAGCGGGGGTTACACCTGTCTGAATAAATTAGAGTGCCCAGGAGCATTCCCAGGTACTGGAGCAGGATCATCTGCTCTGCTCAGGGTGGAAAGGTCCCACACCAGCTCCACCACAGAGTCCCCAGCACCCCAAGGCAGTGCTGCAGGGACCTCTCCCAGAGGGGCTGCTGCCATAAGGTTACCCTGTTTCAGAGACTGAGAGAGTCATCCATCCAGCTCGTTTAACACCACAGTATTCCTGATCATGTTTAATTTACTAGTGTAACTTTGGCCAAAGTCAGCTCTGAACTAGAACTCATGTAGCTGTACTTAGGTAGTGCTTGAGCCCAAGCTAATAAAACCTGCTGAGGGGCAGGATATATTAGCTTGGGTTCAGTGCTGTGCTAACATGGCTATATGGCTTCCAGATGGCTCAGAATTTAGGCAGAGCTATTGCCTGCCAAAGTCCATATATATATCGATATAAATATATATATCCTAAATTCCCCCACTGTAAGGACACTAATGAAGGTGAACTCACTCCTGATACTTTGCCTTGTAAATACCAGATCCACGAAGAGACTTAAATGTAACAACCCAGCAGCATCCTTCAGAGTACTTGATGGCTACCATGGTCATGTAAGTTGGGTGTCAAGGTTGACTGGGGGTAACCTCAGGCTGAGATTGATAAGGTTTAGTGTTGTAAAGGTGAGGCTAAGGCCAATATGAAGTATGCAGCCAACTACCTGAAGAAGCCAGGGTGCTGCCACAGGTTGCTATGTGTTGAAAGCAAGCCAGCCACCCTCTGCAACTCAGAGAATGTGGCCATGTTGCCTCTTTGAAGGCTTTGTAGGAGAAAGGGACTTTGGAAGGCCTGGGCTGAAAGAAGGAGAGGCTAAAAAAGAGAGCGCATGTCTCAATGTCTCCCCCATCACTGCTGGAGAAGGACCTCACCAATCCTTCCTGCAGCATGTAGGACTAGGAGCCAAACCTCCTTCCAGGCGTCATATTTCGGAGTGTACCCAAATATGTGCTGGAGAGAGCATTGGCCTTCTCCGGACGTCAGTTGGATCAAGGAAACTATCTATTTCAAGTTTCCCTTTGTTCTGAGGAAAAAAAAAACAAAACACCTTTAAATAAGAGTCAGAGTTGGGGAGCTGAGTATTCCTGCTGTCTGCCCACCTCAAACAGCAGGAAAGTCCAAAGAAACCTTCCATAGGACTATGTGGTAATAGAAATCACCTTAATCACCTTGAGTTTTTTAAAGTTATCACCAGTTTCTTCCTCTCTGATGTGCAGGCAGATGGAGTAATCTAACAAAAGACACAGAACTACATGGCTGCGGGGGCTACCCAGGATGTTGTATTTAGAGCTGTGTACTTGGAACATGTTTTATACTGTGGATCATTAATAGTCATTGTTACGTATTATCTCCCTCTCCCATTTTCTGTGGATAACACTAGATTCTCTTCAGCAATGTTATAAACAGCAAGAGGAATGCTTTTGCAGCTATTTACACTCCTCCAGTACAAGTGATGTTCAAACCGTTGCTAACTTCCAATTATAAAAATTGTAAAATGTTAATACAAAGGTGTTGATTCACTGGAACATGTTTTAAGTCTTAGGAGACATATGGCCTATATACAGGAAAAGCATTGCATGGAGCTTTTCGAATTGTTTCTGCATCTGTATTGATTTTATGCTGCAATTCATCTAACACTCGCACTTCCATCAGCGTGAAAATGATCACCTCTCATTTTGAACACCATGGAGTTTTGGTGTCAAAAGGAGGGAACTGGCCAAAAGGGGATGCTGCAGAATGTTGAGGAGACATTAAAAAAGAGAATCAAAAAAACCTGATCCTTAATTTACCACAGCCCCAGGGAAACAGTGCATTATATGTTGACAGCTTCCATATGTGTCATGCAAACCTTTATTCTTACTGTTCAAAATAAAATGTCCCATTAAGAGAAAAAGTCTACATTTCATGTTAAAATGAGACGTATGATACCAAATACTGTCTTAAAGAAAAAAGAAAACACATTCCAATGTCATGTGGCTTTTTGTACTTTTTCAGCATTTTCAAAGGGGGAAAAATATGAATTACAGCAACCAGACATTCCTTCAAAGTTGTTTTTATCACACTGTTATATTAAATAGCTACAAATTTTTTTATTCCTCATGTAGACATTATTATTATTATATATGCACCATCTTCAGGAATCACCGAAGAAGTATATCTACAGAAGTAATTGCCTAAAAAGTCACTGAAGATAACGGTAAGAATGATTGTTGTTAATGGTAATGATAACAACATAGTAGCACCCCAGAGCCTCAGTAATTAATGACACCCCATTTTAAAGGTGCTGTATGAATACATCTAAAAATTAGTATGTATTTACAGACTTGATTATCCAGCGCCCCAGTGCAGCACCTAAATACCTCAAACGGGGATCTTCTGACTTAACAGAATGACATTTAGCTTAATGGTCTGCTGCAACAGAAAGGTTCGGGTCCAACCATAAATGTCCTCCAGTTATGGCAGCAGAACTCCTCTACCTTCCAAAAACTCAGTGGACAGCTGGAGGCATGAAGAAATGTGCTTCAGACCTGCACGACCTAAAGTTCACCTAAGCCAAGGGAAGGTTTTTTGGTTGATTTGAAGCAGTCTCTGAGCTTTCATAGAAAACTGGTTGGAGCGAAGGCGGGTGGGGTTCTCTGGGTTACAAACTGAGTCCACTACATACTGAGTCATGTAAAAAAATTCATGTTCCATCTGTACACAAATGTGTCATTCAACTGCTGGTGTTTCTAATAGCTTCCAGAAGTAACAGCAACCCAATAAAAATAATCAAAGCCTTAAGAGCAAAAATGTAAGAGCACGAAAGGATGATTTTCCTTATGCTAAGCTGAAGTGGTATAGTACAGGTCTTTTCTATAATTTTGAAAAATGTAGTCCCTAGAAGGGCACTCTTCCTGCATGTATAAACTGAAAAAGAAACAGACAGTGAGGGAAGAGGGGAATTCTCTCTTGACTCAAGGAGCTGTGTTGAGAAATTCAAATAAGTGAGGTGCAGAAGGTAAAGCTGCTGTGTCTTTGGAATTTAAAATAGAAAATTATCTATCACCTTTCTGATCTTGGGAGTAGGACAGGGGAAATATTTACATAAACTATTATTTTACAATTTCTTCAGTGTATTAACCTAAAGGTTTCCTTTTACCCATACAAACTTTCCTGCTGTTTACTGAACAGATATAATTTTGAGGCTAGAACCAACAAATTCCTGGTTCCAGGGCTTCTTAATGAATGCCTTTCATGGATATTTAATTTTTAAGAATTTCTGTATTTGAATATCCTGGAAAAAAAGTCAAGGATAGAGTTTATTCTGGAGCAGGATAACTGGCCAGAAGCCAGTCCACCTAATTTGGATGCCTGACGGAGGTGTCACCTCTCCAGAATTTTAAGGGTTTAAACATGGCCTCACAAAACCAAGCTGCCTAACAGAGCCACTCTCCATACAGCCCGAGCTCAGGTGTGGTGCTTTTGAAGGCTAGTTGAGAGCAGCAACAATGTGGTCTACTTTGCATTGCTGCCTCCTTTTTCCACTGACTGTACTCTGACCATATAGACAGTATTAGGTGAAATGGTCGACTGCCCTCGTTCAAGCCTGCCAACTCCCTTTTTAAGCATCATGCCTAAAGGACAGGTTTTGCATAACACTCCAGCAGCAGAAGCACTTGCTGAAAAAGTATGAGAGGCTTTGTTGGCAGCCCAACTGAGCCTGAGGGTGAATTCAGATCAAAAACAATGAGAAAATGTAGCCCGAACAAAGAAAGAAGGAAAAAAATATTAATCCTTACACTGGGGTTTCTCCTGCTACTCATTAACATTATGTCAGCTAAGGTTTAGATTAACTGGCATCATAGATCCCTTGACCTCCGACATAAAAAGCTTTTTGACACGAAAGAGCTAAATCTGAAAGTTTGCTTGTAAAGTAGTATGGATTAAGTGAACCATCACAGAAAAAACAGTATATAAGTCTCTTTTTATTAGTTTCTAAAGAAGTCTAGGTAAAGAACATTTCTTACGAAAAGATTATTTTGTGTTGAGATGCATTTTCACTTTTTAATGAAGAGCATAACTGTGGATAATGTAGTAGCCCAGTAAATTTGTACTAAAAAACCACAGCTCTGATTCCAGATTTGACAGTGTTCTTTCTAATTTTCGTCTTACTAAAATTTTTGATATCTCAAATTTGTAACCCATTTCAAGATAAAAAGGTTTTAAATTAATTTTTGCTCCAAAATAAAATGATAGTAAACCAATTCCCACATTACCCTATTGTTAACTGCTCTCCAACATCAGTACCAGCAGCCATGAGGTACCTCCTGAACTGTCCTGAGGTATATTTAAACCTTTCTCCATGCTTCGGCCCAGAAAGTTCTTTAGAAACTTTCTAAAACAATAATTTTGCAAATCTCAAGTTTCCTGAATATAATCATCAGTGGAAGAACATTAAAATGGAACTTCATTTTGCATTTTGTATGTAGGAGCTTTTATCCTAAACTTAATTTAATTTAACTAGATTCAATTAGCTTTTTAATTGCCATATTCTACGGAATTAGGAATAGCAGAAAGTTTACAAACTATAACTATGGCAGGATAAGGCTTGTGTTCTTTGCTTATAAACTCTCAGGAAATTGTCACCCAGTCAAGTTAAAAAACAACTGTTCAGAAAAGTTTCCTAGCAAGAGATGGCAAGAGCATATATAGAGTTATGATCTACAATTATATCTTACCGTCCCCAGTTTCAGCACAGAGTTGCAAGCCCAGATTGTTCTGTGGATTAATCACCCAGTGATTGCTGGTCACGGTAATGTCAAACACAAACCAGCCCACATCAGAAGCTTGAGCCTTTCTTGTGTCTAACAGGAACAAGTCTGCATCCCTAAGTTAAAGAAAATAGAGAGTTAAGGCATTCAAAAATTTTTATTTTTTGACCTTAATTTCCTTGCTGACAATAACTTCCCGGAGTCCAAATGAGTAACAGTTTGACACATCCTCATCATGACACAGTACAGCATGTGCTATAGTTAATATGTAATTGTTAGGTATAATACAGGTACTTCCCCTGAGACACCTTTCTGAAATTAGTCTTAGCATGTAAAAACTACAGCTCTGGAAAAATCTGAAAAATCCAGATTCCTGATATAAGTAGACAAAAAATATAATTAAGGCTGTTTATAAAGTATTCATCTTTCAGCACTAGAATGTCTCAGGAAGAATAACTTTTATAAACCATTCAGTGTAAAAAAAAAAAAGTCAAAAATCACATTTCAATTTCAAATAAAATGCAAAGACATAGTGTTGCTAAAATCTGTTATTAATAACATATGACAGCAGCTATATCTTATGACAAAACATGAATAGATGACAGTTCAGACAGCTTTGTATTAGTACAAATGTTTAGAAAATAAGTCTTTATATCAAATTAGAAATTATATATTTATTCAATAAGGTAATTATTACATTTTAACCCTCAGTTTCCTGGAATATTCTCAATTTTTTCCCCTGAAACCTTCTAGTAATTCAGAAGGGCTGCTCAGTGGAGTTAGTATGATTGTGTTACTAAATGTTTAGCGTGGATCATTTATTTGTTCTGTTTTCACATATCTCGTGGCACAATCGGTTCCAGAACCACATCTGTATTACAAATAATTTACTGCAATGGCCACACTAAACCTAAGATATTTAACTCTCATCAGTTTTATTTTCCATGCTCTACAAAGCAGCATGTGTTATTAAAAACTGTTTTCACCATATAGCTTTTAAAACTTAAATCTATGCTTATAGAAACCTATTTCTTTTCTGCCATAAATAGTAACCAAAACTATAATAAACAATAAAAAATATTTTATTCTAGATTTTGACTGTACAAGACAGCTAAAGACAGACTTGGCTTACACAGACTTTGGAATCATACTATTACCTCACAGACAGCATAAATATATCTTTAAAGAAGACAGACAGAAATAATAGATTTTGTGTATAAAAAGTGGATTTAAAATTATGATGGTCCTGTCACTTCTTTCTTATGTTGCTTAATCGTAATGACATCATAGGAAGTTACTGTCTTATCTAGTCTAAACACTGTAAATGCACCTAGAACATCTGATACTGAAAAAAAATCTCATCTAGCTCTTAAAACTGTGGTTGTTCAACACTCAGGAAAGTAAGACCGAATGAGCATATGTTTACTTATCTGTAGGAAATATCTACAGAATTAGGTTAAAGAGCTCAGAAACTATAAAGGAGGGTCATTTTGGATTTGGTTTGGTTTGGTTTGGTTTGGTTTGGTTTGGTTTGGTTTAAAAAAAGGCTTTCTTTCAAGTCACCTTTTTTCCTTCTGTTAAAGGATAATTTTTTGCTGGGGTCTCATCACTTCCATTCTAGGTAGAATCGTTCTAATGACCACACAAGAAGAAAACATACATTCTCCCTCTGGAGCTAACATGAAAACAGTCTTACAATTCAAAAGAGCTTGACCTGCTATGCTAGCACTGAACAAATTAACAGCGTACCACTAGCTTATAAATAGCAGTCTCGGGAGTCTTAAATACCAACTTTTTCCTCTAACAAGCAGTTTTATCAGAACTTTAAAGCTGAAAGTTTTAATTCTGAATGTGACAGCCTTTAAGATATTTATTTATAAAGATTTCTTGTATCATTTCATAGATTTAATAGAAAACTTTAAATTTTTTTGCAATATAAAATATTACAATAGCACAGTATTATAATTTCACATTTGTCTTGTCTCCTCCTAAAATACATAACTGTTTTCCCATATAGGTTATTTCAGCTCCAACCATTGCTGGGACTGATACAAATGTTCTCAAAATTTAGGATGCACAATGTCTCATATGCCAAATCAGAAAAGGGCACTTCTAATGATACAGTCCAGAAATCCCTATAAAGAACAAAGTTTCCCTGTGGATCTCTCCTCAATATGACTTTGTACTGCAGCAGAATCTCACACAGAAGTGTCTTTGGCATCGATAAGTCAACCTTCTTTTCTACTTTCTCACAAACATAGTGATCTTGCTAAGGTAATAGACTCAAAGAGACAGGTTGTTCTTACCCATTAATTCAGCAAATGAACCAAAAATTAGTTGTGGGTACCTAGAGAAAACTAGATCTGATTCTTGAGAACACACAGTAGAATAGAGAAAATGTCTCCAGACCAATGCTACTGATTCAGCCAATTTACTACAGAAATTCAAAGTATTTGTCAGGAATAAAACCGACTTTTTTCACAGTTGATACAAACCTAAGGTGAAAACCGGATCCCTGAGAAGGCAGTTAGAGCTCTGGGATCAGGATTCCCCTATATAGCTGCTGTCATTCACTCATTATATTTTGTAACATTCTTAATTTTAAAATTCTCCTTTATTCTGTAAAAAGAAAAAAAGTTCACTCTAAAAATTAAAAACAGCTGCAAATTTTGGCTCTAATTTGAAAAAATATTTCTATTTAAAAAATAGCCCACAACACATAATAAAAAAGTAAGGCATTATGTCGTAAATAGCCTGAAATGCAACAGTGAACACATTCAGGCAGAATACAACTGATTGGCTTTACCTTTATGGAGGCAGTTTAAGTTTAGTGATCTCAGTCTGGTCCCATATGGCCAGTTGTCTACAGCAGAAATGCTACCACAGTCAAGAATTTCAGCAAAGAGGCTGCGGGCAGAACATCTAAGAAGCCCCACATCTCCTGGGTCACTTAAGGAAGTAAAGGTGGAATAAACCATCTACATGTTCCTTGAAATCCAGCAAAGTTTTCGACCAGATCAAATCATGATTTGATTTGTAATAGGCCATCCCTATTACCTCTCGCCTCATTCCAGAAAGCTGCTATAGTATCTTAACACCACTTGAGGATTCCCTAATGTGGGAAGAATCCTTGGGGTTTAGTTAAATTAGTGGCTAGCTGCCACCAGATCATGAACAAGGATTTAGCCTGTTGGACTACATGACTTTCGTCATGAGAAAAGATCCGGGTAGGAGTACATTGGCAGGGCTGCATAGGAAAGTTTGCCTTGCCATGGGCTGTGCTTTATATGCTTCCTTAGAACAAATAGAAAACTTCAATCCCAAAGACTGTAATTTCAGCAAACTCCTAGTAAATTCAATACACAAACACTTCAGCAGCCATGCTGCCACAGAGACAGAAAAATGTCTGAGACTACCACATAGTCCTTAGTCTACAACTCAAAAACTCTAAACCTTGACCACTCCTTGCCTGAAAGCATAGCAGGACTGTATTTGGGACTGCAGAGCCCTGTCAGACACCCACGTTTCCTGTTCAAAGCAAAGAAGGGTGAAGGAGCAGGGTCAAACCCAGTGGTTCTGCTGTGGTATGGCACTAGTAGTAAGTGTGGGACAATATAGAATCCTAAATTTGTTGAATGGTTTGGGTAGAAAGGACCATCTAGTTCCAACCCCCTGCCATGGGCAGGGACACCTCCCACTAGCCCAGGTTGCTCAGAGCCCCGTCCAACCTGGCCTTGAACACTGCCAGGGAGGGGGCAGCCACAGCTTCTCTGGGAAACCTGTGCCAGTGTCTCACCACACTCACTGTTCTCTCACCCTCACATTCTGCAGTTGCAGCTTCTGAAATTTTTTTACCTAAAATCTCATGTACGTATGTATGTAATACAAACCTGAAGTGACACTTCAGGTCAAGAAGTCAAGAATAACACTATTGAAGTCTGGGCCCCAAAGCAAAAGCTATACAAAAGCTTTAGTGGGAAAAAGAAAAAAAAGAAAAAAGAAAAAAGAAAAAAAAAAAAAAAAAAAAAAAAAAAAAAAAAAAAAAAAGAGGAAATATTATTGGGAGCTCTTCTGTCTGGAGGTATCAAGAAGTTAGTGAGAAAGTTCATTGTTTCTAATTGGAAAAGTGGAGAGCTTGTGGTCTTCTCTTATCCTGTCCCACTGAGGCATTTGCCTTTATATACTCCATATACAAGTAGAAACTAGCAAGATCAACAATAGGAGGGAAACAACAATAGGAGGGAAACACTGAGTCTACATCTGAAGCTTCTGTAATTAAACTCGTAAAACCAAATGGGTGGCATGTCATTGCATGTCCCCCTTGCCAGCATCATGCTTCCAGTAAAGGACATGGGGTTTTTATGTTTATAAATGGAAATATAAAATATAAATTTATGTTTATGTATTGAAAGAAATCAAGAGCATTCTTTAATGGATTCAAAAAGACAGTTGTCATTTTAACCAGTCAGATAATATTAAATTGTGATCTTGCTTCAAAATAGTAAGCAAGTTTTACTTTCTCTAAATTAGAATAGAAACCACCTACTGGGAAAACATTAAAAAAGCCCAAAACATAACAAAAGAGAAAACATCAAATGAAAACCTAACTTTTCCCAGTAGTTCTTAACAAAATCTGTTGTATTTTCAGGTGAAAAGCTTTCATCATCCTAGCCTTGACCAACGCTCTTTAAAAAGATATGTTTAAAGTTTCTTTTAGAACCTATGTCAAAAGAATTTGCAAGTTGAAGAGAGAGGTAAAAAAGAATCTTGCACTGTTTTGTTCATCCTCAGATTTACTAAGAAAGCAGAAGGTATTCTGGAAGGATGAGTGCTTTCCCTCCTGTTGATTCTGCACCACTGGTATAAAATGACTCCCTGTTTATAGCCATAAATATTTTATAACTTGATGTCCAGAGATCTCATCTGGAAGCTTGTGCAAGCTCATGCTTCTGTGGGCAGAAAAGATATTTGAACTCTGGCCCAGCCTTCAGGCTAACAGGTGACAGGGCATTTTTTTTTCTGCAATTTTAGGCTGTCATTGTCATTGCTTTTGATAAACATGCCAGGATAGAAACATTTTATCTGTTCCAAGATGAGCTAGAGAGTTTTTTTATCTCAAAACAAAACTTTTTCCCCACACACTTTTCTGAGAAAAGACATAAACTAATTTAATTTCAAAACCCACATTTGGGCATATGTAGCTTTTCCCAGAAGCATCTTGGAATTGTTAATACTTTTTGATGGGAATTTTCAGGTATTTAGCCTGATAGGTGAAATCGTGTCATTTACTCAGGTCTTGTAGAGTCTTGGAAATCTGTCACACACAGAGCTCTACAAACTCAGAATCAGAGATTTCCTCATGTGTAGCATCATATGTGGGGACATGATTTAGTGGTGGCTTTGGCAGTGTTAGGTTTATGGTTATACCTGGTGATCTTAAAAGATCCAACCTAAATGATTTGATGATTCTATGATTTGTTTTAATTTTCGGATATGGTGAGCAGCATGTTAAGCATGCATCTTAAAATTAGTGCATGACTTTATCTTTTAATTCCATTTTGCAGAATATTAAAACACATGCAGAAAAGTCATGCTCCTTCACAAAATTGAACAATCTGTCTTTAAGGAGCTAAGTGAATCTTGGCTTGTAGTACCTCAGTGTCAGCAAATGGTGCATTTCCCAAATCCAGACACTTAAACTCTGCATAGAACTCCACCATTTGCTCACTGAGAACACAGGCCCTCACCCCCTCTGTGCATGGGCAAATTATTTGGTGACATTGGACATGTAACTCTCCGTAAACTTAGAATACATTACACTGAAGATAATTTTTATTCTTGCTCAGTATTTGTTGTCATTGCCTAGGAATTAATACTGCACAAGCCACAGTGATAGCAATGATGCCTTGCTGAGGGAAGACATGATCAGTTATTGTCTCCTAAATTAATATAGAAACATGAGACATTATTCAACATGCAGCGTGTTCATGCCAACAGGATACCTGTTTGGGTACTCCTTGATGATCTGATATATGCTAATCTGAATGGTTTCATTCTCAAAGCGGCTGTTACTTCGATCTTTGTATATCCGGAATTCGGCTGCTGTCACTGCCTCCCCATGCGGGATCTGAGTAAGGTCAAAGCGAAACTCTTTGTAGTGCCTTCGCTGGTGGGAGAAGTCTTTGTCCCTTTCAACTGTGAGAAAAAGAGTTGAATGTAAATTAAAGAGGTGAAATGAATGCCCATTTCCCATGATTAATGAAGCGTTCCCTGTGCTTGGAAGTAAACAAACAGGACAATATAAAACTGTGCAAATAATAAAACCGCAAGCCCAGACATATTTCCAGTTAAAGGAAATTCCACCAGCCCAGTGTCTTCAGTTCAAAAGAAAAAAAAAAACCTCAGTGGCTTTTATACAAATTCCAGAAGCTGGAGTGGAAAGAATATCAAAAAAAGCTGAAAGGAGTCATATTGTAAAGTAACTAGAAATATGGACAAACTAAAATCTGTGAAAGGATTTAGGACTTCGGTGTAGTTACAAGCACATCAGTAGTAATGTCAAAGACATAGATGACTTTGGAAAACACTAATTGCTGCTAATAACCAGGCAGATGACCAGAAAGCTGCTCATTTCCACTCAATGTAATAAATTCTGAAGTGGCTAAAGTGCACTGCAACAACTATATATTTAAGAAGCAATTGCATCATATAAATTAACAAATGTTGTACTCTAATGGTATAAAGCATCATCTTGCCAGTGGTCAAAAGAAGGAGCCGTGAATCAGGGCTGAGTGGTTCTGGCACCCCAGCAGGAGAGGGAGCACACTCCTGGCTTGAGAAGTCCCCTCAAACCTGTTGTGGGTGGGCAGGTGCAGCTCCCACTGCTCTAACACTGCCACAGTTTAAAACCAAAGTTAACCTCAACATTGCTTAATTCAGGATTGCACAGAATTTTAAGGGGGAGTAAACAGAGAATTTTAGTTTGAGTTTACAACTGATTTGGAGTTAATTCCACTGTCTGCTGCAGTTCTGACCCTGAGTTATGAGAGACTTTTGCAATGGAATACATGTTTTGATGTGGCAGGGAACGTACAGGCCATAAGTACTGGCTGATGACCATTTTATGGGATTAATACTTCAGATTTTATGGATGTGGAAAGGAAAATGATCCATGGTTTCTACTGCCACAGAGTACAACATGTCATTGACCTGTGAAGAAGCTGTGCTCTGTGAGAAGAGACAACTCACTTAAAAGAAATTCTACCTGCCTTGTGAGATAGGTGTTTTGTTTTACTGATGGTGGACAAAGCCTAAAACATTCAGAGCTGGAATTCAGTTTGGATAACCAGATAAACTTTTATGACTGCATCCAGATCCACTAAATGCTCCCTCCTATAATCCCTGCTCTTTTATTGTGTTTTAGTATTAATAGTCCTCAGATCTGAGGGAGGAACAATGTCAGTTCTGAAAAAAGAGCATATTTAGATTACTAAATATTACTTTTATAAAGAATAAAATGTGTATGTTATTACAATATATATGTATATTTATATGTAAATGCTCATGTATATGTGTACACCCAATAAATTTTGTCTACATACATAATGTTGTATGTATGTGTGTAAAAATACATATATTTTTATATAAACCTGCATATGTGTACTATTGTAATGTGTATGGGGTCTTACAAAATAGAAATGCACTAAAAGAAAAAAAAATGCTTTGGGCTTGCCATACAAGGGTACAGTTCTGACCTATTAAAGAGAAAGCTATTGAAGAAAAAGTACTTACATTATTTTCAGAGCAGTGGTTACTAGTTAAATCACATGTGGCCATGTAACTAGTCCCTTACAGTGTACTTCCCTTTCACCCTTTCAAAATGTAAACTACCCTTATTTTCATTAGCACATATTTTTTTTTTAAATGTACAAATCTATGTTGCCTTAAGAATCACCAAAAATAAAATATATAGGCTACAAGAACACGTTAACTTCTGTGAAAATTAATTTTCTCCTGGCTGACAAAAGGAAAATTGTCTGCTGACTCTGAGGTTTACTTGGCTCAAGTGCATATTTAGCTTACATGGGTTTGCCATCATGTAGAATGTAGAAAATGTAAAGTAGAAGAGATAGAAGCATGTAAACTGGCTGCTCAGTACCTGAAGATGAATGGGCCGCTACTGAAGAGAAACAGGATACAGTCTATTTAGTAGCTCCACTGCCCAGTTCTAAACTGTGAGATATATACAGACATCTGACTTGAGGTTTGGGGCTTGGTTTTTTGTTTGTTTTGGTTTTGGGTTGTTTTTTTTTTAATGACCATGTAAAGCCTTTCATTTCGGAGAGACCTTGGCAGATTAGCATATGCAAATGCACTGAACTGGGGAGGATTTTTTCTAGTGGAGAGAGTCTGTTGCAAGTTTCTAAGGTTATAACTGAGCATTTCAAAGCTGATATAGAATAGATATGTCAGTAACTTTCAAATGAAAAATATATTAAAGGCAGACAATGTAGCCACCCTTTCTGATATCTCTGGTTAGTTTTTATTCAACAAGTATTTACCAGGATGCATAGGTAACTAAGCACTACTCACTCTGAGTAAGCATTGGGGAGTTAGATGCTGAACAAAAGGTTTAAATGCCAGTACTCCTGGGTTTGAGGCTTCCTTTTGTCTAGTTTCTTACAAGTATCTTCTAATTAGTACTATTAGTTTGTTCTCTCCCCATATGTTATATTTTGGACAAAAAACTCTACAATACCCTGAAACAGCATCGGTGGAGTTCTCCCAGGACCACTCGCAGCTGCTGAAAGAATACTGATAGCCACATCTTGACAGGCCCCAAATTAATTATTAGCACTCACACAGATAGTACTTATCTGTGATTTCATGTATACCCAAGGAAGAGACAGCACTGCCATCTGAAAGAGACACAAGTTCAAAATTTCCTTGTGTCGAGACAGCATTTACAGGCAGGCCAGGACTTGGGAGCAGCAAAAGCCTGCAGAAATGAAAAGTTGTAGGAAACAGCCACTGAACACTTGAATCCAGGGAGGTCCCACTCTCTGCAATGAAGCCAGAAGTTCAAACTGAAAATTTCTGTTGGCCAATGAACAAAATATAAAAACAACTTTTGCAAATTTAGACAAATTAATTATATAGTAGACTGTAAAAAAAACAGTGATGGTGATGTTGCAATAGTGACTAATGGCTAGAATGATAGCCAAGTTATAAAAGTGAAAAGTTATTTAATGATATTGAGTATTTTAATACAGAAAATAATACACAGGTTTTGATCCCCTCTTCCCCGACAATAAATGCCTTGCCGAGGAAGACCATGAATGCTCGGAGGGTATTTCTCAGGTCCTTTGTCCTGCTGAAATGGCACAAAGTGCAGGGGGACACCATGTCTCAAATATTTTTATTTCACATGTGAGAGCTTTTCAACACTGGCAGCCTAGAAAATAAAGGTTAAGATTTTTAAGTATTGAGTTCTTCCAGAGCATTCTCATGTCATTCCAGCTCTGCTCAGGTCATCTGCCAAAATGCATCTCTGTGGGACCGATCAAAGCATCTAAAAACTGGTTGACCGGAAAATCAGGAAGTCCTTTTTTAACTATTGGAGGAATATAATTTTTCTAAATAAAAATAACTAGAATATTAGGGTCAATACTGATTACAACCAAATTCTTCATTTGCTCTCATTAATCAGGATTCTTAGTATCAACTTTTAAAAATGTTATTTTTATACCACCTGAAACTAATATATTCAGTGCTATAGTTACATCAGACAAATCATGGGTCGGGGGAATATCACAAACACCTGTGTGTGAGATGGGAAAGAATGATATTTTCCACCCATGTGGCAAACCGATGAAATATTTATACTGTATTAACACTAAGCCCAACTCTAAGAAGAATGAAGACAAATTTACACCAAAAAGATATTTTGGAAAAGGGGTCATCTTTTACACTAAGATAAAATATCATGCACCAATTTTAATTTTAAAAAGTATTTGTATTCTGAAAAAAAATACAAAGTACATATATGGATGGACAGTATAATAAATAATCAATATTTTACAAATTCAGCTACAAATGTCTGCTTAACTGTTGACTGAGCTTAAAAAGTGCAAAAAGTGCTAGCAATGACTTTAGGTCATAGTGTATGAGGGACTTTTAGACATGCTCTTTCATTAGTGTTTAGCTCCCCACTGACTTGTGCTTTGCTTTTGCTGAAGAGGTCGGTATGTGGTGACATGTAGGGAAAGCAAAAGCTTCTTTGGCGAACTGGGGAACAAACCAAAGATACGTTGTAATAAACTGGTTTTACAATGAAAAATCACAAGATCCCAACTGGATTCACAAATAGCGAAGCCTCACTAATCAAATTAATGATGCTGTTTAACTACTAAATATACATGCCAAGGCAAAATGGAGGGTCTTACAGACCACGCGTAACTATAAGGGGCCATTTGCACTAATCTCACTGAGTTTCACTGTTTGACTCTGAATTCTTTGTATAAGCACTAAGTAAACCAGTCAGTTTTAATCACTTCAAGGTGATAAAGGTTACAGTAAGCTGATACACTACAAACGACACTCGTTTACATCTTGAATATAATGAAATGATAGTTTATCTACAGTGAACACTTGTGGTTATCTGACAAAAACAGGTCAAAGGTTCCAGGCGTTTTCTCCTGAAATTACTCAGTACTGCCTCTAATGACTGATAATTGAAAGCAGAGGCTGGAAATATCAAATGTGGTAGGTGACAGATAAGCAACAGATTAATGCAAGTACTCTGTTACAGGACACTAAAAGGTCAGAGGCCCTAGGAATTAGCTATTGTGCTACTGTGAAAAGACAGACATCAAATAGCTGTTTACCTCATTCTTCCTCCTCTCTCCAACATTCAAATTCTAGAAACATGTTCTCTGTTCTGCAATTAGACTATTTAAAGTGACTCACTTTTTAGAAAACAAGGCAACAAATGTTTTGTAGTGTGGATAGGAGAAAAGATGTGATGCTAGAGCAGAATTAAGGGGGGGTGTTAAAAAATAAAGCTACACTAGGTGAAAGTATTTTAATGAAATGTATTGGAGAGAAGTTAAGAATATTCATTTGAATATCATTCATAGTTGAGGAGATCAGATAATAGATCTTTAAAAATATATTTTAAAGCTTTGTAACTGTTT